TTCACCAATATTCTTAGAACTCTTCCCTCTACAACATATCAGAAAATGAACAAGATCTGACGACCTCGATTGAACAGCTCCTCAGTGATTCGGTCGTGGCTTACACGGACTGGCTCATAAATAGAAACCGAACTCATCCTCAGAGACATTTCCATCTAGAAATGAACAATAACATTAATGAAAATATTGAGTTCAATTCATCAAGTACACTTACATATGTCTATATGAGTGATTCTACTGTCTATTGTGCCGTTTTTTTTGAAAATATGGTCGAAAAAAAAAAGTGAATGAGTGTACTTAAAAGTATTATCAGCGAATAGAACACACTTCAAACTATAAGAAAAAATGGTTTTGCAAACTACCACTTTTTTCTTTCGTCGGATTTGGAGATCAAAAGATTTGTAAAAACTCATTAAGGGATCTTTTACAATTTTCACGTAGAAAATAGATGACCACCTGGAATTAACATGATCTTATAGGTTTCAATACATTTTCTTTCGAGTGGCGTATCCAGAAGAAGCACAAAAATGATGAATTTCGGAGAAAATTTTTTCAGATTTTTCAGTCGGATAGAAGGGTAGTGCAAACTATAGAATGGAACATCTCACTGTGTTTTTCAAATTACTTCATTTAGAAATGAGCTAGAGTCTTGATATTTACAACATCAGTTGTGCCCACGAATTAATATTCGTGATAAAAAAATCAGCTCTTAACTCTTCGTCGTTTGGTCAGGGGATAGGCAAAAGGGGGTGGGACAAACAGGGAAAAATGCACATTTCTGTATTTTTAAATTTCTATCGTTAGAAATAAACTGGAGTCTTGATATTTACAACATAAGTTGTGTTCAACAATTGACATTTATGGTAAAAAAATCAGCTCTTAGCTATTTGTCGTTTGGTCAGGAGATAGGCAAAAGAGGGTGGGATATTTGACTGTATTTTTTCAATTACTTTCTTCAGAAATGAGCTAGAGACTTGATATTTACAACATAAGTTGTGCCCAACAATTGACATTTGTGGTAAAAAAATCAGCTCTTAACTCTTTGTAGTTTGGTCAGAAGATAGGCAAAAGGGGATGGGACAAATTATCGGTCACACGCCAGTGGACGCCACTAAAATGTAAAAATTATTCAAAAACGGAAAAAGCCAGTAAATTGTGGTTTTCAGCAATCGATAGTGTCAGAGCTGATGAATCTTTTTATGCAAAGCGACTTGACTGAAAATGACTATTGGCTTCACAGTAGATTCAAAAGGGGGTGGGACACTATTTTGGACGTTATCTGAAACCACTGTAGAAATTCAATTTTCTATGAAACGAGAATGACTGAAATAAAAATAAAATTATGAATAGATAGAGCATTTCAAATAGTATAAGAAACCTAAGAAAACAGTATTTATTTTTTATATATCTAGCTGGAAAAAGAGGAAGAAGGAAAAGAATCATATGAGGAACTATCACGAAAACACATGAAAAACAGGAAAAAGCGACTTTGTTTTGAACACCGCTCGTAAACGATAATAGATAGAAAGCTGATTTTAACAGCACAGATAGAGCATGAACAATAGATACTTCAGTATAAATTTCGATCAATTTGATCAAACAGGAACTGAGAAATAAAGAGGAACCGTTTTGAACGACAAACGGTACAATAGACACTAGAATCACTCATATGTATGTTGTGCTGAAGTTACACTTTTTGTCGAACTTATTTTTTCAGGATTTAATTAAGTATCAATTATCAAGAAATGATCATTATCATGCTAAAGCATATAGTTAAAGCTGATTTTTCAGCTCAACACTATTTACAGTTACATTTATTGAGAAATATTTTGAAAAGTGTACAAAACATTGACAACAAAACCCTTTTATTTTTCTAATACTTTTCCATTTTTCACTCAGATCAATATTTCTGGTTCCCGAAATCGAGGGTATCGAATGGAAATTCCCCTAAAAACTGGCGACAATGGTAGGAACTTGGAAGTAAAAATCTGGTGATCCGATCCGGTGGTCAGATTCTTCTAGTTTCAACCGGAAACGACTGTAACTGAACAAAACCGGCCATCGAATCTAATCACTGGTTTTCTGCTTCCAATTTGCGACCATTTTCCCAAGTTCTGTGGCAGGAAACAGCCTGTATTTCTTGAGCGCAGGATTCAAAAGTCTGAGAATGGGACTCGAGATGAGAATATGGGTGTGGATGTTGGCGTAGGCGTGGCAATAGATGCCAGAGATGGGATCGGTTCTTGCTTTTTGAAGTCAAAGTGAAGCTATCTATCTTTTAAAATCTGTGAACTGAATCAGGTCATAACTGGAAGGCAAGTGAGTATGTGTATTTTGAGATTGGGTTTAGATGAGATCGATTTTTCGAAACCGAACCGAGCCGACCTAGTTTTTAAGAAGTTTAAACTACGCCGATTTCGGTGTAGTTCAGTTGAAAACCAAATTCGTGCCTTTTCCGGTAGGCGCGACTGTGAGAAGTGAGGACCTTCTCTTCACCATCACACTCACACATTTGAATAGAAGATGAAAAACTATTAGAAAAATAAAAGGGTTTTATTCTCAATGTTTTGTACACTTTTCAAAATATTTCTCAATAAATGTAATTGTAAATACTGTTGAGCTGAAAAATCAGCTTTAACTACATGCTTTACCATGATAATGATCATTTCTTGTTCATTGATACTTAATTAAATCCTGAAAAATAAGTTCGACAAAAAGTGTAACTTCGGCACGACATATACCGGGTGAGCCAAAAGTAACATAACAAAGATTTTTTTCAATTTTTTTCTTTATACATCGTCAGTTAGATCTTATATTTATACCACATATACTAGGTAATATAACTCAAATGTGCAGCATATTATCAGTGTCTAGGTGTAGTAATTTGTTCAAAAGCATTCGATCACAAGGCGGTCAAAATTAAGGTAAAAAGTCTGAGCTTTAATGAAACATTTATTAAAACAATACATATCTGTGGGATATTTTTAACATTAAAGTTTTTCACAAGTATTGCTCGATGTGTTCACCTTCTAAGTCTTTGCAAAGTTGCAATCGCTGAGGTACTGATTGACACGCTCTTCGACAAAATTCCATCGGCAAGTCTCGTATTTCTGTAATAATAGCATCTTTGAGCGCTTGAATAGTTCGATGTTTTGTTCCATATACACGATCTTTGATGAAACCCCATAAAAAGAAGTCGGTCGGAGTCAAATTCGGAGACCGTGCTGGCCAATCAACTGGTCCACGTCGACCGATCCATCGATTGGGGAACGTTCTATCCAAGAAGTCTCGAACAGATTGAGCACAATGAGCCGGTGTTCCATCATGCATGTAGAACGTTTTTCTTAAATTCATTTGAGATTCAATAGCAGGAAGAATTTCTTTATTCAGCTTTTCAAGATAACTGTGTGCAGTCACAGTATCACGAAAGAAGAACGGACCGATAATGCCTCCAGACCAAATTCCCGCCCATACGTAACTCCCAGAGCATTCATATCTTGCGTGATGCCGATATGAGGATTTTCTACAGCATAGTAAACACAATTGTGCCGATTGACGTGTCCATTCAACTTGAAAGTAGCCTCATCGGCCCAAACAATTCGGTCGCACATAGAAGAATCGTCAACAACCAAGTTCAGAAAAATATCGGCAAATTCGCAACGTCGATCAGGATCATCATCGCTTAAGTCATGTAGTAGACGAGGACGATAGGGTTTCAATTCCAGCTCCTTCATCATTCGGCGAAGACTGGTTCTAGACAGATTCAGCTCCAGTGACGCTCTTCTAGTTGACGTTTCCGGACTTTCTTCGAATGCGACACGAATACGTTCTCGATTTTCGTCAGTGCTAACAGATCTAGGTCGACCAGATCTGGGTTCATCTTCGACACTTCCGGTTTCGTCAAACTTCCGTACAAGATTCAAGATGTTGTTTCGAGCTGGAGGAGCTCGATCGTAATGGTCCTGGAACTGGCGAGCAACTTCAACTGCATTCTGGTGAATGGCATACCACTTGACAATCTCAATTCTTTCTGCTGTGGGCAGACGAGAGCGTTCACTCATGATTAAAAACAATCTGAAAAAGATTAAGTATTATTAGGTTGAAATGATCGTTTATCTCTTATTTTTATCCGACCATATCGCACATGTGAACACGCAAAATGTTTGGATAAACCTCACAGTCAGGACTATGCCGAAAGTCGAGAATACAAAGAAAACAAAAATGAATCAGTGGATGGAAGATTAAACCACTTATGCTATTGTCTACAGATGCCGTCGCTAGTACATATGTAAGTACTCGTGTATTTGTACGCTTGTAAACAAATTATCACCTCTAGATACTGATAATATGCTGCACATTTGAGCTATATCACCTAGTATATGTGGTATCAAAATATAAGATCTAACTGACGATGTACAAAGAAAAAAATTGAAAAAAAATCTTTGTTATGTTACTTTTGGCCCACCCGGTATATATATAATAGGAGTACAAATTGAAAATTCCCTTTTTTTCGTATTATAAATATTCGTCAAATATTAAAATTCTTAATTAAGAGTATACCTTATTTAAAGTTTATTTGTTTATATATATATTAATCTATATGTGTTTAGTTTATGGAAAATATATATTATTAATAATAGAATATTCAAACAAACATCGAACAAATTCGAATGACAAATATTTACTCTATTTTATTTCTGTAATATAAATTGAATATGCAAAAAAATCCCATAATTCGAAATTTTTTCAAAAACAAAAAGAAACCATTCCGGTCGGTCGAAAAATGATCCGTACACCCCCTATGACTGTTTTCTTTTCTCTGCTTTTACCTTATAGAAACTAACTTAGGAGCTTATGTCACTAGCATCTTCCCAAGCAGTCAAACATTTTCAAAAACGCGTTTAAACGCACAAAAAGGGCTTAAAATCCACAAAAAATGGATGTGTTTGGCTCACAATCGCAGTTCCAGACTGTCAGCGAAAAACAACCACTTTTTGCCCTTTTTGTGCGTTTAAACGCATTTTCAGCAAAACAACGCTTGTAAACGCATATAAACGTATAAAAAGAACATATTTATAGTAGTGGTCTTTTTCATTTTCCTGAACTGATTGTAATTATGATGATTTACGAGTATGAAAAAGATTACAACTTTTTATGATCGTTTTATGCGTTTATACACGTTTACAAGCGTTGTTTTGCTGAAAACGCGTTTAAACGCACAAAAAGTGGTTGTTTTTCGCTGACAGTCGGGAACCGCGACTGTGAGCCAAACACGTCCACTTTTTGTGGATTTTAAGCTCTTTTTTGTGCATTTGAACGCGTTTTTGAAAATGTTTGTCTGCTTGGGTTGTAGCACATCATACCTAGCATATATACTGGTGCTTTCAGCTTTGGATATCTTTCAATCTCTGTTTTACTGAAAAATGAAGAGAGACACACGAATTTTTCATAACGAAAAATTATTCGTACACTTTCGAAAATTTATGCACATTCAATGAGTAACTGTCAGTAAGGAAATATTTCGACTCGATTCATGACTATAGGTCTTAGTGATTATATTCCACTTTAAATAATCTGATGAGATCAATTAAAAATGGGACTTTCTCTCATGAACCGACTATGAACCTGAAAAATCTAAAACATCAGAGATGATATCTATTTTTTTTTCTAGTTAACACAAATAAAGATCAAAATGCAAAAGAAATCATTGTTAAACATGAAAACATCGGTTTTGAATAACTTTTAAATGAATTTGAATAGTTGAAAGACTATAACATTAATAAAAGCCTTTAGGCTTCGATTGCCACAATAAATGAAAAGATTCAATTGAGAAACAAGCGAAAAAAGAAAATCAAAATAAATGTGATAGTTGAATAGAGCGCGTAAAATTGTACTAGAAAACATAGCAGGACAAAAGTAGGAAAGCTTTCCGTATGGTCAAGAAACGATGGAAGAACATTATCCTTTATTGATTATTGGTATTATAACAACATTACACAGAGATGTCCGTCCAAAATCTCGTAGGAACTATGTTTTCCCATTTCGATGGGATCTATGGAATGCGACAATGATGTCACTTATAAAACACAACTCAACCCTTTTTAGAAATCAAAAGCTGCCTTTCACCTGGGAAATTTATATATTACATTTTAATAGGCATCATTTATAATAAGGAAACATAATCTTTCACCATCTCTTGACCATACGGAAAGCTTTCCTACTTTTGTCCTACTATGTTTTCTAGTACAATTTTACGCGCTCTATTCAACTATCACA